GTGTGGTATGTGTGATGTGTGTGTGTGTGTGTGGTGTATATGTATGGTGTGCGTGTATGGTGTGTGTGTGTGTGTGTGTGGTGTGTGATGTGTGAGTGTGTGTGAGTGTGTGTGCATGTTGGCAGCCAGTCAACAGCAGGTGTCTTCTGTCACTCTCCACCTCATTGTTTAGAGCAGCCTCTCACTGGGCCTGGGTCATGCTAGTCCAGCCTGGACTTTTCTATGTCTGTGCTGGAGATCTGAACCCAGGTCCTCACACCTGTGCAGTGAGTGACCGCTCCTTCTCAGAGCCCAGCCCCCACACCTAAACAGTCTTTACAAACAGAAGCAGAAACATGCTGTATATAATTTTAATATATTCCTCATTTATTTAATATTATGTAAGTTTTCCTCTGTAGATTTAGATACTTTTAATTCTATTTTAGCAAATACATAATATTCATATATATATATATATATATATATATATATATCCTAATTTGATTAACTATTCCAATTTTGTGCTTAATAAATAAGGCTGCAGTGAACATTTTTGTTTGTGATTCTTAGCGTGTTTTTGAAACAGCTACACTAGCATGCTTTCTCGGGTTTCCGGGACCAGAGTTTGGAAACTTGCTTTCTCCTTGCTAGCTTACTTCCTGGAACACAGTGACGTGTGACAGTATCAACAGTTGTTAGTTACTGGATGACACCAAGTCTAATTCTCCTTCACAGTAAAGTTTCAGCATTTTGCGACTGCATATCTACTAAAAGGAAAGGGAGCCAGAGTCGCTCACTTGGGTCTGCAGTCTCCACACTTGCTTCCAGATGAGCCTTCCTGTGGATGCTGCCCTCAGCCGGTCACCGGAGCTGCCACGGGATGGGAGGATGGGTTGATCTGAATCACGTCATCCCCAACGTTAGCTGCCTTCCCCATTTCCGTGATGAATATCTGACAGGAAGCCCCTTAAGAAAGAAACAGCACATTTAACTCCCAGTTTTAGGGCGTCGCGGCAGCAGGGGCTAGAGACATTGCTGGTCACACTGCATCCACAGCTAGGAGGCAGGAGGCCATGGATTCTAGCACTTGGCTGACTGTCTCCTTTGTATTATTCAGTCCAGGACCCATCCCACAGAATAGTGCCACCACTGTCAGGATGAGTCTTCCCACCTCAGGTGACCTAATCTAGACCACCCTTCTCAGGCATGCTTGGAAGCTTGTCTTCTGGGTGATTCTGGAGCTTGTCAAGTTGACAATATCAACCGTGAACCGCCCCCCCCCCCAGATATATGTTCTTGAGGGTAGAACCTCTTCTGAGTAGTAAAATAGCTAAGCACAATTTGGAATGAGAGGGAAAACATCCTAAAATACACCTAGGACTGCTGAGTACTGGGATTCTCTCTGTGATGTTGAAATGATAACTTGGTAGCATCTTGAAAGATCATGCAGACTTAAGTTAGACTTGTCACCACAGATAGTGGATTCTTGAATACGGCCATCATTTGAGGTCAGAGCTCAGGCTTGATCCTGAGTCCTGTTGGAGTCGTGGCTGGGAAAAGCAAACTCAAGAGACTTCATTGTTGGTTTCCCCCACTTGTTCCAACCCTGGCGTGAGTGTTGCTGAGGATAGGGAGGGGAAATGGTGGTGACTGGATTGTGGGTGGCTCAATGCTCCCTTCTATCACTAGATGATAACTAGATGAAGAACTCTAAGTGACACCTTTTGCAGGTGTGTCTAGGGTGACGTTTCATGTGTGTAGTCTCGATTTCTCCCTATCTGCGATGTGACCAATTCTGGGGACTATTACGTTTTGAATCTAAACATGCACACCCAAGTCTAGGGTTTGGAATGCTTGGCCCGCAGCTCATGGTGCTGTTCTGAGGGCAGTGGAGCCATGGGAGATGGGACTAGCTGACGTAAGTAGGTCACTAGGCAGGGGCCTTTGTAGGTTGTACTTGGCCTCTGGTTCCTGTCACACATTCCCCGCTTCTGGGAGTGGATGAGTAGGGGGGGGGGGGAGTCTGTCAGGCTCCAGGTGGTTTGGAATCCCTTCTGAAGATCAGTCAGGAGCCTAGGAGAGACTTGGGTGAAGGACATGAAAAGCAGAGTGTGATGCCCACAACAGGCTCCTAATGTGTCCCTACCAAATGGTGGTGATCGAGGCTATGTTTTTTTTTTATAGTTGTATCTTGACAGATTAAAATGAGGCCAGTGGCCTGGGGGCATATGTTTGTAGTAGAATATATGACTACTATATATGAAACCCTGGATTCACCCAAGGGAAAAAAGAGAAAAGTGTGGGGGAGAGAACAAAGAACCAACACACATACACACACACACATACACACACACACACACACACACACACACACACACACACAACAAAACCCAAACCCAAGGCTGCTAGTTCACATGAGGGTTCTGAGCAGAGGATGGACCCTGAAGGCACCCCGATAGCCCTCACTTAGGTGTGGTCATAGCTCGGTGGTAGGACAAGGCAATTCCCAGCTGACTGGATTGGCAGTGGAATACCAGGTGGTGTGGCTGTGTTTCTTAGAGTCTGGAAAACCAGGAGGGAAGGCCAGTGGGGCTTTGTGCACTTTGAGAGGGGACGGAGGGGCGTGGGCACGCCTGGTGACTAACATGGCAAGAAACTGGACGTCTGGCTAGAGCTCAGATATAATGAAAACATTACGTTGCTGGGAGATGTTAAGCAGGACCAGGGAATTGTTCCTTAGGATGGGTGGTGGGAAGGAAGGATGTCCAAGAACTGTCCGGGAGGATCTGCCATGCTAAGTGGCTCCCCTGGGGTTGGCAGCAGTATTGTGGGCACAGGTATCACCCATCATCCTCCATTTTCGTCCCCTTTCGGTCTTTACCCCAGCTGGTGGCCATCTTAGTTACTTTTAATCCTTGCAAAAATTCCTGGCCAAAACAACTGAAGAGAGTTTATTTCGGCTCACACTTTGAGGGTGCAGTCCATCATGGCGAGAAAGGCCTGAAGGAGGGAGCCGGTCACATCCTGTCTGCAGTCATCTCACTATGTCCTGTCTGTGTAGTCTGGGACAGCAGCCTGTGGAATGGTGCTTCCCCTATTTAGAAGGGAGCTTTCCTACGTTAATTAACCCAATCTAGAAACTCTGTCCTAGGCATGGCCAGAGGTTTGTCTCCTGGGTAATTCTAGATCCTTTCCAGTTGAGAATCAATATAAACCACCCCAGTGGCTAAAGAGGTGCTAAGCACCCCTGGACTCTGTCCACAGCTGTGCTCAGTCAGCATGTAGGTGTGCGGACTGCCTTTTACCTAATGCCGGCACAGCTGCCTGATTTCCAATCGGATGCTGGTGTGGGTTTCCCATGAGGCTGCGGGGGCAGCTGGGCAGTCCACAACACTGAGGTGTCTTAACTGCTTTTGGATTCCTCTGCTCTGTCCTTTCCAGTGGTTGTGGAGTCAGACTTCGTGAAATATGAAAGCAGGTTTGAGAACCACACGAGCGGGAGCATCGGGACGGTTGTGGGGAAGGTCAAGCTGAACGTGGGCGGCAAAGGCCTGGTGGAGGGTCGCTCGTCGTTCGGAACCCTGAGGAAGCAGGAGGTGGACCTGCAGCAGCTCATCCAGGATGCAGTCGGGAGGTAAGGGGAATTCTGTTCTGCATGGTGGGCCTTTATACATCTTATGGCTGAAGGTCGTCTGGCTGGACTTCGGCCAAAAGGCTGCTGATGTGGACTCTACTAAACAGCATGTGTTGAATGCCAGTGGTCCTGAAACTTTCTCAGCGCACATTCTTTATTTTACAATTTACTGACTGTTTTCTATCTGAGAGCAGAGACCTGGGAAACTCCGTATATTAGTTCAAGAGAAATGGCAACAGTGGAAAGATGGAGTCCTGCTTTGGCATTTTTTGAAAATTTATTTCACATGTGTGGGTTGGGTGGGGAATGTTCCATGGCAGACACACTGGGGTCAGAGGGCAACTTGCTGGAGCCAGTTCACTCCCATGTGGTCCTCTGTAAGATGAATTGTTAAACAGTCTAATTAATAAAAACCCAGAGCCAGATATTGGGGTGAAAGCTGACATATCAGAGAATATGACAAGCCACAGCCAACCTCACCTCACCAACTCCTCAGCTTCCAAAGAGGCCTACTTCCTGTATATCCACACCTATAAGCCTTTCTGTTCTGCCATCTCACTTCCTCTCTCTGCCCAGCTACATTGCTTCCTGTCTGTCTGTATAGACCTCCAGACCTCTATGGTTAGTGCTGGGATTAAAGGCATGTGCCACCATGCCTCAGTGTGGCCTTGAACTCACAGAGATCCAAATGGATCTCTGCCTCCCGAATGCTAGGATTAAAGTGTGCTACCATTGCCTGACTTCTATGTTTACTATAGTGGCTGGCTTTTTCCTCTGATCCTCAGATAAGCTTTATTAGGGTGTACAATATATTGGGGGACACAATATATCACCACAGCCCTCAGTAGTCATGGTGGTCAGGTCAATGACTACCCACTGACCCATCTTGCCAGCCCCTGATTTGCTTATGGATTTTTTTTCCATTTCTGTATTTACTTGAGACAGTTTCCCTGTGTAGCCCAGGCTGTCCTAATTCAGGCTTCTGAGTGCTGGAGTTACGGGTCTATGCCACCACACCCTGTTCAAAGAATCAGCGATGGTTTTGTTTGTTTGACCTCAGCGCTGGAGCTTGAACCAGGGCCTCACATACTCTGGTCGAGAGCTGACCACATCACCAGCCTCATGCTTTTGCGTATTAATTCCAGAAGCAGGAAGCTCCTAAGTCCACTTTGTGTCTTTGCATTTTTCTCATGAGGAAGAGAGCAAGTGCAGGATTTCATGAAGAAGAGCTGGTTTACCACTTCAACATCTTGAAGGAAATCCTGTGTTTATTCATTTTTATCCCATGATAACTCATCATTATTGACTTTCTGCCTTGTGTCAATTCAACATTCAACAAGTCATTCTCCTGACGGAATGCGATATATTCTCCATACCGAGGATGCCGCAGGGAGCAAAATGCTGTGACTTCTGCTCAAATTCTAGTGGGAGAGATTCCAAATATGTAGTTAAATAAAACATGAAATAGATTGATGAGGTTGGAGCCACGGGGGAAAATGTAACAAAGGAGGATATGATTTTACAGTGAGGCCAGAGAAGACACTCGAGAAATTGGTCTTAGAATAAAGCCTCTAAGAAGGAAAAAACAAACGCGGCCCTTCACAAGGATGCTGTGTGCTATGACCAGGAAAGCTGCTGCCCCAGGGTGACCCAGGAGAGGTCAGGGGAGAGCCAGGTCCCCTAGGACCTAGAGGCCACTGGAAAGACTTTGCCTCTCACTCTGAGTAAGATGGGATGTCTCTGGAGATTTTGATCAGGAAGGTGACATGTTGACTTATTCTTTAAAAGGATTCTTTTGGCAACTGGGCTGAGAAGAGAATGGATGGGCAGAAGCCAGGGGGCCGACTGAGATGGTATTTCAGTGCGATGCATACTGAGCCATATGTGCGTCTCCATGTGTAATTTTTATCACCCTTTCCCCCTTAAGACAGAGAATTCAAATGCAAATGCATATTCATCAATGGAAAAGTCATTTGTATGTAGGTGTAGGCAGTTTGTCTCTTCTAATGTTCTTAGGCCTGGGGGTGTATGTAGGTCAGTGGTAGAGCACATGCCTAGCACATGCAAGGCCCTGGGTTCTAGCCCTGACAATGCAAAAACAATAACCCAAAAATAGTAAGTCCTTGATCTTAGAATCCTAAGAATGACATGCTTATTGAACAAAGCTATGTTTTAAATCAATACACAAAAAGTGCCATGAAACATGTATGTCAAGCATTTGGTAGGCAGATTTAGTAAAGGCTGGACGTTAGACTTCAAAGCTAGGCACCTGTAACTGCCCTGATTAGCGGACCTGAAAGAGCACCATCATGTATCTGGCACCTCCTGGCTTTTCCCAGGGTTCCCCCGGGACCTCACTCTCTTTGGCAGTGGGAGGCACAGTCACTCTGAGGCTGATCTTAGTTCCTTCTCTGGTTGCTCTTGTCAACAATGGCACCTTCCTTCTCTCCTGCAGTGGACACCAGGGGGATATTGTTTATCTGCAATCAAAATATAACTGGGCGATGCTCATTTTCTTTGCTAAATCCAGTGACGCTGTTCATGGAGGAGAGTGGATAGGAAGGCTGCGGGAGTCCAGGGCCTTGGGTCCCCCACTCTCCACCCACCCCCCTTTAGCTTCGATGTGCAGTTTTGTCATTTCTATTTCAGGAACCAGGGTTAGGCAATGCTCTGCCATCACAGCTCCTGATATAGGATTTTAAAGGAAGTCTCTGTGATTCAGGTGTAAAAGCTACTGCCGACGGGGAGCATGGGGGTGGGGATCCTGTGAACAGTGTGGGAGAAAAAAAAAATCTAAGAGGAAACAGAAAAGGAGAAGCGGGGAGGGTCACCTTCAAGGCACCTACTATGTGCCAGCCAGTGGGTATTTATCGCCTCATTTTCTCTGCACAGCTGACTGCGTTTGTGTGTGAAAGACTGAGGCTTAGGAGAGTGAAGCGGTTCTCAGTCACAGATCTGTGTGCTGCAGCTGGCATCCAAGCCAGGATTTCTTGGTTCCAAGCCTCCTGTTCTTCCCTCTAAATCTTGCTTGAATCAGTAGAGGTAAAAGTGATTTGGATGTGATGCGGAGTACCCCTGAGGGTGTTTCTGGGTGAAGTGTGGGATGGGCCCTGTCCTCCATGGGTGCTTGGGAAGGGTCAGGCAGGCCTGCTCCCCCGGGACATGCCTGGATGGGTTGAGGTCACCTGAGAAGACAGTTCACCCATCCACTGCAGGTGTCATGGGAGAAGGCGCGGTTTGGGGAGTAGTAGCTGATTGATGAGGAGCATGTTAAAGACTAGAGGTCAGGATGTAGCCAGTGGTAGAAAAAAACAGGTGCAGTCCCTGGACCCAGGAGGTGCCTTATCACAGAGCCACCCCCTTGTTACATTTTGCTGAGAGCTAAAGGTAAGCTACATGGGAAGGATGGGAGATTCTTTCCCAGTCTCAGGATGATAGCCATCAAGCTAGCATTGCTGTGCCTTCGTACGAGAGTCATAAATTCTTATCTGTGTGGTCCTGCCCATCTTTGGACTCCTGGAACATCATCAGGACTGATAAGGTGCTGCGGATGCAGCTGTGGCCCTGGGCACAGTAACCAGTGATCCCTCAGGACTGGATGTTCTCAAGGGCATATTTGCAGCCAGGCATTTTTATTTCAGTCATTTAGATAAGGTATCATCTGTGTACAAGTTTTGCAGGCTCTACGAAAACCAAAGTGTTGGAGCTAGTGTGTAGTTTGGTGACAGTCACTTGCTGAGCTCGCCTAAGGCCCCCGGGTTGACCTAGGTAGCACCAGGAGAAAGAAAAAACTCCAAGTACTAATTGTATTGTCTGCAAAAATATATTCGTATCTCCAACTCCATTCTCTCTTGGAAACTATCCCATGTATATAGAAGATTCATTTAGAGTTTGGGCAATCATGCTTATAGCTACCTGGAGCTGATTGCTTCTAATGAGCCATGGGTTCAGCTTACGTATTCTTGATAGAAACTATCCTGACAAATGCCTTCCATTTCTTTAAATGGAAACTGACAAATGTATTGAGAATTCTCAAAACACGGATTTGTGCTTTAGTATTCGTATCCAATATTATGCTGTACAAACTCTCTAGAAAGGCTTTGCATTGTCTCTGTCGTCCAGCGGCCACTTGTCACTGTCTTAAGCAAAGCAGCCGTACTTCACACACACACACACACACACACACACACACACACACACACACACACACACACACACCGCCAGTGAGCACCTGACTGCCTCACACCTCCCAGAATCGGGGGAACCTCATTCTGCATAAATAACTTGGACAGACTTAGTAAGTCGTGCCAGCCTCTGGCCTTACTCTCCCCAGCCTACGTGGCCTTCGGGAGCTATCTCTGAAGTTTCTAGATGTGAGTGGGCACACACCAGATCTTTCCCTTTGAGGTTGGGCCTTGCTTCTAGCTATGGCCGCATGGAGGGTTTGGGTTGTTTTGTTTGTTTGTTTGTTTGTTTCTTTGGCTACACGAGGTTTGAGTTGATTGTTACCGTAAAGGCACTTCCAATTTTTATTATTTACCTTGTTTCTAAGCAAATTTTGGTAAAGCTGATTATGGTTGTCTGTATGTATATATATGGTAATTAGAAAATTGGTTCTTGATGAGGAACTCTCCATTAATTATATAAATTGATAAACCATGAATGAGGTGATGTGGCGATAAATCTTCACAATTATTCCGAATGTTTCAGCCCACATATGAAAACGATGGAGCCCTGCTCTGGCTCTTCGGCCTCCCTAGAGGAGGCGGAGGACTCTCGTGAGTGCTGGTTCCTGCTGACACTTGATTTGGGAGTTTTGTTGAAGGGATCGTGTCTTGCTTTTTTTTAGAAAAGAACATATACAGCAGAGTTGGACACACCTTCCTTTCTCCTGGTCCATTTCTGCATGGAGAGCATTTGATGGTCATGCATTTGATAGTCATGCATTTGATAGTCGTGCATTTGATAGTCATGCATTTGATAGTCATGCATTTGATAGT